TAAGAGTTCAGCTTCCATGAGGATGCCTGGGGGAGACAGAGACCGAGTTAAGCTCAGGAGTGCTTTGAGTTCTGGCACAGCTCATTTAAGCCAAGGAGCCCCCTGCCAGCCACTCGTTCCTCCCCTCGTGCCACCCCTCCTATTGTGCCAGCACAAGATGTGACAGAGCTGGGGAGGGAGGCACAGCGGGGAACTGGTCCAGCCAAAAAACAGCCCCACAGGGAATAAAAAAGCAGCCTGTTGTTCGAGTCAGTTCATTGTGAAATGACACAAATGCGTGCTTTTTGACAAGAGAGAGGGTGGCACACACGGATATGAGAGCTGAAACCGGGTGGGGAGGAGGAAGGGGCTGCCAGGGCTGAAGGTGGCACTGCCTTCAGGAGCAAACCTACACCCAGGCAATAGCCGAGAGACTCCTGATGGTTCACCACTGGTGTGATAGAATACAAGTGTAGGCAAAGTATCCGCTTTTATAACAACGTATTTTTAATATATTCTCCAGGGCAGGATATTTTCTGTCTTCAGCTTTGAATAAAAATAAAAAATACGCTGAATTGTATTTTCTCCATTGACTGAAAATACGAAACAGGCAAGTCCCCTAATGGAAGCGCAGGTTCTATTCAGATCTACTCCTCCTAAGACCTGTTGGCTACAAACACTGTTATATACAAACGTAAATGCTCCTTGAATTAACAAGTTGCCAATAGGCATTTTCAAGTACTTTTTTTTTCTTAACATTTTAAACATCTCTGAAACTGAAAAAGACCCTCAACAGCTTTTGTGGTATTTTAAAGCTCATTCCAGGTCTTCATGAATTCCCTCTTTTAAACTTTAAGTAAATCCTAAAAGCTAAGAGCTAGGCTGGCTATGGACAAATTATTTTCAGGGTCACAGTCCACACCGTTGCCAAAATTAGGAAAACAACAGAACACAGAGAGGTCCTCCAACAACAAGAGTAGCAAATAACTTAAAAATGTAAGTCAAGCATCCAGCAAGTCTTTTTCTTTCTGGCTACGCTTTGTGCACTGCGATACGCTTACACCTCCACTCTCAAAGATCTGGAAGTGCTTTTACCCTCCAACAGTCCCCGTAGCACAGTAAGGAGACGGAAAGGAACTATGTTATGATGACTGAAAGGTACAAATTTGTTAGAGGAAACAGAACTGTACACGAAGTGTTTTTGCTTCCCCTTCACTATCTTTCAAGCAAGACTTCTAGGATAACCTAAGCGCAACTGGACTTTTTCATGTCTGCTTTCGTTCTCTCTCCACAGTATTTTTTATCACAGTAGGAGCACTGAACCGCCACCGTTTCACTCTCCTCCTGCTGTCCCATTCTGGGGAGCACACCCCTGTCCCCAGGCGTGACCAGCCCCAGGCTGCCCCAGCACCCAGCCCTTCTCCCCATTCACAGCAGCCCAACTCCTCCTGTCGCTCCAGGCCTTTTCTTCAGCGTCCCATGCTGCTCCTGTGCCTGCTTCTACACATCACCATGAACACCCTCTCCATCTACTTGCAAGCCAGGCTGTCTTGGTTATGCCTTAGTACCTTTGATTTGTTCTCCTGCACTTCCCTCATTCACTTTTTGGGCTACCTCAGTCGTTCTGGTTCTCTCTGCCTACACACAAGTAGATCCACTCTTAAGCTCCCCTGCAGTGCAATTCATGCTCCTTATGAGCTTTAGGCTGAACATTCACACATGTGAACTCCAAGGCACTGGGTTTTGTTTCACAAGAACAGGAAAAAAAAAAACCATTAATTCAAGTTCAGTTGGAAAGGTTTAACAAACTTTCCTTTGAAAGGCCACTACAACACAGCTTATAATTGAAACCCAAAGATATTCCAGGGCATTTTATGAAGTTAAGAGAGTACAAATAAAATACCATCGATATTCTCAGTTCCTCCATTTCATTTCTGTAGTTGGCAGGTCTGCTTACACTAGGAAGTAACTTTTTTTTGTGCAGCGTTTCTGGGTCAAGTTCAGACCAATACATCGTAAACAGGGGCTCCTGACCCTGAGCAGGCATCGCCATAAATCACGAGCAGCCCTTCCCTGTATTCAGGAACGATCTCTCAGTTCACAGAGGTCACCTCCTCCTTTTCAACAAGGTCTTTAATCTAGGCTTCTCCGTGCCACTGCAGCGCTTCCAGCACGGGGGCTGGATGTGGTGCACAGCCTGAGCTCCTGCTTTGTGCTGCAGGGAGCGAATTACGCCAGCAGCCAGCTCGCCCAGCCAAGCTGAGTCACTCACTCCACTCTCACAGGCGTCTACAGGACATTTTATCCACTCCTCCAGCCGCCCCCTCCGTGCCACCTTTGGGATCTGCTTCCCACTGCACAGCTCTAATCCTGTCTCCCCAGCCTTCGCCGCTCCCTCCCACTTAGGATCTCTTCTCCCACTCAGCCTCCCCACTTCCCCAGCACCACAAGACTTCTGTGCCGAGTTCCCCAGTGTCCTCCGGTTCTCCCTCACTTCTCGTGGCTGCTTTTCCCAGTCCAGCCACAGCAGATAACATAAGGAATAACCTGTATGTCGGAGAATTGCTGTGCGTAGTTCATTAATCCCCCCAACTCTTCCACTACAGCACTTGACAAACTACTTCATCTCTTAAGACGATTATAGTTAAGTATTTTCTCTTTTGAAGCATTATCTAATCACCTTAGCACTGATTCCAGTGCTAAAAAGTGTTAAAAAACCTATCCCCCTTATTCTTTGAACTCTTACACACTGAGCTTCAGTTTGGGTTGGGATGGGGAATATGGAATAAATCCTAAGGGGAAAGCTGTGAATTAACTGAAATGCTGGAGTGCATTCACGTCCGTGGTCTTTTTGGCCCCACTGTCATTCAGGACTTGGCTGACTTCAGCATCGCACAAGAAAACGTAGGACTGAGCAGTTATGGCAAAACACTGAAGGGCTGAACTGCACCCGAAGCCGTCAGTGCCTGGGAGCCAACTGCTGGGTCAGGACTGGGGTCTGGTGGTGGGGCCGGTCATTCTCCAGCACTGCGGAAACACACGCGTCTACCAGCCAAGAGAAATTCTAATGCACACTTAAACTGAATAAATGCAAGGCAACTCACACTGATTTGAACAGTTACAGTGGAGATTCTGAGCTGTATTAACTTCTCTAAATAGTCTAACATTAAAGCTCAATACCCCTCGTAATCCCCAAGTAACAAAGGATCAAAACGCAACTCTAACAGCGAAAAGTACATGGAAACCCTGGACTAGACCCTCAGCTCCTGGCTCCTATTCTCAGCCCCGCCACTGCCACACGAGGTGACAGGATATCTCAGCTGGAAGGGGCCTACATCCATCATCTTGTCCAACTGCCTTAATTGCTGTTCTAAATTACTTTCCTCCCTTCACGGCTCAGTGTGAAATAGCATTGCTGCCCTCTTTGGTAAAGTGAGATCTGATGGGAGAAAGTACTGCTAGGCTTGATTTTTTAGTCGTTTTCTCCACCATTATAGATTAGGATCCTTTCCCCCCTCCATTAAACATCACGCACTTGACAAACGTTTAGACAGCTGGTGCCTACGAGTCGAAGGCCAAACTGCCTCACGGAACTGATGTCAGCTGGTACTCAGGAGGATTTTAAAATGCAATTAAATTAAGAGACAAGCTACGCAGGTTAGGGCTATACTAGAATCAGAAAGGAATCTTAAAAGGCATAAAATGTCTTTACATTTATTAAGCAAACTCTGCAGTCTTTTCTTGTTATATTCTTGTTGAAAAACAGAACATTCAGAAAGCGTCGTGAAAACAAGAAACAAAAAAAGCTAGGGTTCACATGAGCCACACTCCCCCTTCCCCTCCCCACCCAAGCAATGGGTCTATCTTCACATCCACCCCACTGTTAACTTTCCAACACAAGCAGCAAGGCACCGTTTACAGCCAGGCTGGGAAACGCAGTGGCCAGCACGCAGGGCCAGGCCGCATTCCTAGCGATCCTCCGCGGCCGCTCTGGTTACAGAGCCCCACGCAGGTACAGACAGAAAACGCAAGGCCAAGGTCAGCTGTACGGTCCTGCCAGCGCTTCAGGTCTGGAAAACCACCGCTCTGCTGGGAACTCCTCGGTTCTCCCGACCGCCAGCAATTCCCTTTCCCTTCGCGCGCACCAGTCCACATCTGCAAGGTTTAACTGAGCCTACGTGCTCTCGGCCCTGGGATGCAGCTTGCCATAAAGCCAGGAAGCAGAGGACCAGGACAGCTCTGCCCGTACAGCAGAGTTAGAGAGCAGAGGATTATTTCTTGGCATTGTTGGGTTTTTTCACTTTGAGAATTAATTTGGGAATTATGAACAATTATGCTCTTGCCCATTAATCGCTGCGATCTAAAATCTTCACGTGAAGAAACAACACATGGAAATATTAAAGCACTCATCTTATGGACGTGGATCCGAGAACTGTTTAATAGCAGTCAGTGAAGGGGTAACATTGTGCTTTTAATCTACAGCTTAAAAATAATGATTTGTATATCTACTTAGTAAAACAATAAAATTAAGAACAGAAACTGATATTAGGAAACAGTGAAAATGTAATAATTAAAACACATGATGCTTTTCAAAGCTATATACTTAATGAGCCTAAATAGACACCTATGGTTAGGAGGGTCTTAAAAAAAATAATAAAAAAGAGACTTATTTTCAATTTTTTTTCCTTTTTGTTTTCAAGTTTTGTCTACTATGCTATATGCCTTGCTTTGGTGTTCTCTCTGCTGCCAACTTAACACTTTAACAGTATGTTTAGGCTTATGTTCTTTTCAAATGCTTGGCATTATAGTGAGATCTCATATCTTTCCTCAAATTAAATTTTGCTCCACATACTCCACATGTATACAGATGAACATCCATGTGCTGCTCCAGTTGCTCATTATTTGGGAATATCTGAAAGCAGACCTGGCATATAGTCTCTCCAGCTGATAAGTGAGATATCATATGCCGTACATGGTCATGTTTTCGGAAGTTTCCTTGATCACAAATGGAACAGACATACCTGGCCATGCCTTTGTGCATATCATTGTGGAGCCGCAACTGGCGCTCTCTTAAGAACTGCTTCCCACATGTCTGACAAACAAACTGTTTTTCCTTGGTATGAACGGTATAGTGTTCCCGCAAGTGGCACCGCTGATAAAATCCTTTCCCACAAAGATTGCAGAAATGCTTACGTCTGTGATCCCTCTCGTTCTCTTCCATCATGGAGTTCTTGAACAGGTCTTGCTCTAGGCAGTTCGACATATGCTCGACCACTAGGTTTTCGGTTTCAAAACGCTGACCGCAATTAGGGCACCGGAAGGGACAGGCAGAATGCTTGTACAACTGCTTTTTCTGAAGGCTGTTCATTTGGAAATGACCGTCCCTGAAGTCCTCCAGCATCTCTGCAAACATCATGTCCCTTATTTCCGACTGCTCCTCGGGGTTCTCTTCCAAGTCCATTTTCTCCTCAGCATTTCTGATACCGTTCATGGTCAGATCCTGGGGTTCTCCACAGGTCTGCGCATGGTCCTGTAGCTGCTTGCCTTTGACCAGTATTTGACCACACTTACCACAGGCACATATATTTTCTATGTGTTTGGATAAATAATGAGAGGACAAATCCTCCTCAGTGATCGTTAGCCCACAGAGTTCGCAGGGAGCGTTCTCCACGTCCTCCTGCACTGAAGGAGCCTTTCTGTTAAGGTGCCGTGGACTTTTCAAACACTTCCTTTCATCCTCATCCATGGACAAGCGGGGTTTTAAAGTCTTCCGAGCATTTCTCTTCTCTCTGATCTCTTCCTCAACGTAGTATCTGTAAAGCGGCTCCTCCTGTTCATCATCTAGGTCGTCGTTGTCGGAAGACTCGTTGCAGTCTTTATCTGTCACCTTAATAATATTGAAATCCTTCAAGTCATCTGCAGGGCTGTCCTCTGGCTCCATCTTGATGATGATCCTCTTCCTCTCAGAGGCTCTACTTCCTTCTTCACCTGATGTCTCAGAGGCAACCGTGCTGCTTTTTCTGCTCGTGACATTTGACACGGGAGATGAAGAATCATCCGCGGCTTGGCTCGAGTCCCTCTTGTATTTTTCTGTTTGCGTGGACATTATTTTAGAAGTAGAGTCCTTGTCATTAAAGTCCATCTTTTCAGCGCCGTAGTACCTGGCACTTTGGTAGGAATGCCTGTTCGTGCACGTTAACACGTGCTCATCCAGCAGCTTTTCACAGCTAAAACTAAACCCACAGCTGTCGCAGGTGAAGCTCCTTCCAAAACGGCGCGAGTGGGACACGCGCTCTTTCGTGTGAGAGAATTTGGACGTGGTGCTTTTTTTGCAGACATCAAACAGTTGTTCGGGGAAGCTGCTCAGCTGCAAAGCTTCCTCATCAGGCTCTTTGTTATGGGACATATTTACTGTTGAACTTGGCGGCTCCATACCCCACCTGTTTGCTTCGCTGCCATTTCTAGCAAGCGTGTCTTCATACATTCTCACGCCAAATATCATTTTACTATTCTGGGTGCTAGAAGCAGAAGATGAACATTTTAAACTCGATGAGTCTGTATCCTGTATATCTTCCAGGCATTCAGGTACGTTATAGAGCTGTAAATAGTTCATGGCCACTTTAAATTGTTCAAAATTGGCGGGGGCTGTCATAATTTTTCCTAAATACATGAACTGTAAAATAAGATCAAAGCATTCAGCGCTAATCTTCATGTTGCTTAGATTCAGCTGGGCTGTAGTGTGTTGATGGTTCATAAAAAACATCCTAAAATAGGAGCTGCACGCAGCAAGAACTGCTTTGTGTGCTTGAAAATAAATATCATCGATAGCGATGCAGCAGTCACACAGAAAGCCCCACTCTCTTTGGTTGTTCAGCTGCTGAAGGACGTAGTTGCTGTGGCTGGTTCTTGCCATCTTGTACTTCAGTTACAGCCCTGCATAAAGAAGAGAACATCTGTTAAATCACGAGCACAAAAAGCAAATCGTACTTAAACCCAGGGAGGAAGTACCATCCTTTTCTTCTCTAGGTCTTGCTGCTCTCACGCTGTTTGTGGTGCAGCTTCCCGTCTGGAGGTCTTTGCTGGTAACTACTACAGATACCGACGCCAGTGAAAACATCCGTAATTCCATGTTCTCACCGCGAGACTTACAAGACTAGTAAACTAATAAACATCACCACCACACACATCAGTCAGAACAACACTGCTAGAATACAAACTGGCAAATACATCGCAAAGTCCTACAGTCAGATTTTCCAGATATGGACTCTGGATTGCAGGTCTTCAAAAACTTCCGGGGGTGGACGTCTGTGAGACGGCCCCAGGACAACACCTATCCAAGGTGAGCTGACTGCAAGAAACCACTCTTCAGTCTCAACTTGCCTTTGTTACCTGTCAGTTCAACAGACATGATGCAACACATACTGGAAGCCAAGCCAGGCCCAAACTGGTCTTTCCCTCCCCATTAAAGGAAACTAAGAAGCTACATCAGTGGAGCATCCACACGGACCACATCCACACACTCTCTGCTCTTCAGGGCAGCTCAGGGACAGTCTCAACCTTATCTGCGAGGTGTCTTTGCAAACTGCAAGCTCAACTGCGTCCCCCGAGGCGCAGGGCGGGCGGGCTGTGATGGCAGAACCCCGCGCAGGCCCGCTGCAGCGGGTGACCAGGCTGGCCGTGCGACAGCCGCGTGGCCTGCAGAGAGGCAGGAAGTGGTGCACGCCGTGCCTCCAACTGCTCTCAAAACCACGCGTTCAGAGCGCTGTAACATAACCAAAACACGTAGATGGGAGACCAGACAAAGAAAAGCTCAGCAATGGAGAACTGCGAAAGCGAGCGGGCAAGAGGTGGGGCCACAGTGAAACGAGGCCTCAACAAAGACTACAGGGGAAAGGCCTGTGAGTGCTGAAAGTTGCTGTAAGTGAAAGAACTCATTTGTCCTCAAAGGAGGCAGAAAATGTATGGTTTATATTAACAAAACCATCCAGAAGAAACGTATTGTACACGAGAAGCATGCATTTGATTTACAGAAGATAAACTTAACCAAGCACAGTCAGATCAAACTGCAAGTCACTACTCACTTTGGAAACCCTTTAGTGCCAGGGAGGCGGGTGAGAAACCAAAAGAGGGTACAAAGAACACCCTAACTGAAATGAAAAACCTAAAGCAGCAACAAGCATTCTTAACATTTTGAAAGGTTATTGCAAACAATACACATAACTATGAGAGATCTGCACAAATAACAGGCTAGCAAACAACACATATTAAATGGCATTTTATGACTCAATGAAATGCATGGATTGATTTGCAACCATTCTTTCAACTGTGCAAAATTTAAACAAAATACACACAAAATTGCTCCCTATTTCTCATTCCCCTGACAGCTTCCATCTCCTAGATGCTGGGAAACGGGTGGAGAAATTAAACCGTGTTGAATTGGCAAGTCGCAGGCGTTGCCTGGCTTGTCAAGTAGCAAACCTAAGGCAAAGTCGCTGTTCTTCATTCCACAAAGGACTGCCGTGGGAGAACACACTTCAGCTCGCAAGAGGAGGACACGCTCACCGCGCCCAGCAACACTGCCCACTGCCCCGTCATCCAGCAGTACTCGGGGATCAGCACAGGGCCTCATCTGGCAGCAGGAACGTGGAGATTCGGGTGGAACTGCACTGATGAGGAGCATCTGAATGGCAGCTGCTTCTCTCCTCTCAACCCAGTCCTCCAAACACAAAACTCGAGGCAAGCACCCTGCCATAATAATTCCCTGACCAGTTCGGCCCAGTGATACCCACTGCAGAAATACAACTTGCTGCATGAAATAAAAATGTCATGGCTTTCCTACTATTTCACAAAGGGCTGGCTCTGGAAGTAGGAGAGTCTCTGAACTCTCGTGGTTTTTCTATGGAAGACTGATTACTGTCCAAGCCACTGGGGGAGCTCAGATGTTTCTGTGAAAAACAGCAAAGCTCTCAATGTCAAGTAATAATAAAAGGGCGCTTCATATTCTTCCAGCTGCTAATGTGTTCTGGATTCGATATAATTCATTAGATACTTAAATATAACGCAGTATACTGTATCAAGTATTAAGAACAGCAGCTGCATAATGACGGAGAATTTACTTCAACCTCCACATTGTAAGAGTGAGAACCAACAAGTGGGAAGGGGCAGTCTAAGGCACCGCTTGCCTCTTGGTGTGAGCTGCCACCAAGACAATACCAGGCTGTGCACAGCTGGGTTTAATCTCGGGAAGTGCAAAGTTTTAATCTTTTCATGTAAAATGTTGTTGGTACACCAGAAGCACTCCACCCTATTTTTCAACAGCAGAAGAGCAGCACAAGCAGCAAGCCCGTACCAAAAGAGGTTGTCACAAACTATCCCCACACACCCGCAGGCTGGGCCATTCCCACACAGTGGGAATGATCTGGCAGCCACTGGAGTGACAAGACACAAACTCACTGCTTCTAAGTCTCCTATTTCTTGGAAAAAGGTGAAATTCCCCTTGGAAAAAAGGTGATCTGACAGGAGAACTCCTGCAGGGCTTTCAGCACTGTCCTAAGACCAGTAATGACCGACAGGCAATGCTGACCTCCTACCACCGCTGTGGACAAAACAACTGGAGCATGAGGTGATGTAGACACACACCTGGCCTCTGTCGCGGTAGTACTGCACACAGGTATTAAAACAGAGTGTTTGAAGTTATTTATGTTAATGAAAGTACTGCCATTCTCCCTCTGGATGCTGTGCTAACCTGCTGTATGTAACTATACATTCACAGCAGCCAACACTTCCCACTATGAGAGCCTGTGTTGGGCTCTTTAAAACTCTGACACATTTCAACCAGCAAAGAAAAAACCTGTCCTTCTGAACTGTCTACTTTGGACAGATTTTTTTCTTTCCCCCCTCCACAGAAAATTTCAGCCAAAATAGTTCCAAAAACGAGGCTAAGAAAAAGCTTTCAAATATGTAGATTATTACTTTCTCTTTTAAAAATAAAAGTCTCCCTTCCAAAATCTGTGAAGAGAGACTTCACATGGAAGAAAGTGCTACGTCCTGGATATGTTGTCATGATATAAAAATCTGCCTGAATTTGGCCAAGCTATAAGCTTGACGGAGAGAAGAAGGTAAAAATAATCCATTTGTTCTGACTATCAGTATTTAGGACTTTTGTAGTTACTGTAATCTCAGACTAAAGCCTCACTGAGAACATTTCATCCTCCTGCAGCTCCTCTGTACATGGGGACCTGTCTGCACCGTCCCACCTGGAATGAAACGCCACTTTCACGCAGAGCTCTGCCGTGATTTTAAACGACAAGTGGGCAGATTCAGGCTAGATAAAAAGAAGAAATGTTGTTACCACGAGGGCGGTGGAACCCTGGCACAGGTTGCCCGGAAAGGTGGTAGATGCCCATGAAAATATTCAAGGCCGGGTTGGACAGGGCTGTGACCAACCTGATCTGGTTGAAGATGTTCCTGCTCATGGCAGCAGGGTTGGACTAAACGGCCTTTAAAGGCGCCTTCCAACTCAAAACATCCTGCAGTTCAGCGTGCCACCTCCACAAAGTCACAAAGCAGGAACAAGGCTTGCTCCACGCCACGACTGGGTTTTAGCATCCTTCCTGGTCGCCTGGATGGAGAAGATGCCTGGTTCTGACTGAGGAGAGCCAGATGCAGGAGGGAGCCGAGTGAAAACACCGGGAGACTGGGAAATGCAGGAAGGATGTGAGGGAATACCTCTGGGAATTGGGAGAGCAGGGAGAGGCAGCCTGGGAGTGGAGTGCTGAGCTGAGAGGAGCGGACTGGGATCAGGAAGCAGCAG